TACGTAGTTGAAAAAGTTTATCCGGAAGGAATATTGAGATTATCACGTGTTTTTCATGCATTTCACTCATTTATACATGTGCATTGACCCATGACCAGATGGTGTTATATACGCGTATATATGTAAATATATGTATATGGGATATGAGAAAAGGTTAAGACGTTATATATGCACCACCACCTGATCAGCTGGTATATGTTGATGATGTTATCCATAGTGGCTGAGACGATATGATGGGATGCCCTCAGTGGCTTGATGATATAATGTACACTCATACCTATGCATGGCATAACATTTATACGCACGTGCATGACATTATAAATGTTTTAGAATTTATAAAGTTATTCAGATTTAAAGACGTGTTTTTATATTCCATGTTTCATCTATGTCTTTTGCGTACTAATTTTCATGCCTTACATACTCAGTACATTTTTCGTACTGATGCCCTATTTTATGGGGCCTATGTTTCATGCCCGTGCAAGTAGGCAAGCTAACAGTCCCTCTTCTTAGGATCCTTGATCAGCGAGAGATGGCGTGCTCCACTTGATCCGGAGTTGCTTTTGATATATATATATATATATATATATATATATATGGGTATGACTTGGCTCAGTCCCGTCTTTGTACAGTTATGTTTCCATTAGAGGTATGTAGATAGTATGTTTGGGTAGGTTTCCCTCATATACATTATTCTCTTAATTCAGCAGATATTATTCAGGTTTATATCTTAGACGCATGCTTAGGGTCGTTTGACAGGTAGGACTCGGGCACCTGTCGCGGCCCATCGGTTTGGGTCGTGACAAAGACACCAATGACAAGGCCTCCTCCTCCTCCATACCCTCAAAGGCTTGCAAAGCAAAATAGTAAAAACCAATTTAAAATTTTTATTGTTATGATGAAGAGTTTGTTGATTAATGTGTCGTTGGTTGAGGCATTGGAAAAAATGCCGGGATATGCAAAATTCATGAAGGATTTGGTAACCAATAAGAGATCGATGAATTGTGAGACAATCAAGATGACACATCAAGTGAGTACGATTTTGCACTCAATGGCTCCTAAGTTGGAAGATCCGGGCGCTTTCACAATCCCTTGCACTATTGGGAGTGCCAACTTTGCCAAAACATTATGTGATCTTGGGGCAAGTATCAACTTGATACCCTATTCGGTGTTAAAATCTTTGGGAATTGGGAAACCAAGACCCACATCCATGAGGTTGCAAATGGTGTATCGAACAATGAAGAGGCCTTTGGGTATTATTGTTGATGTGTTGGTTCGAGTTGATAAGTTCATCCTCTCGACGGACTTTGTGATTCTTGATTGTGAAGTGGACTATGAGGTGCCTATCATTTTGGGTAGACCTTTCCTTTCTACGTGGAAGACTCTTGTGGATGTGGAAGCCGATGAACTCACCTTCCGGGTGGGTGACGAAAAGGTGGTCTTGCATATGTGCAAATCTATGAGGCAGCCTAATAATAACGAAGTATGTTCATTCATGGATTTGGTCACCGATGTGATTATTGATGATGCTAGTGTCACCATGAATGTTGAGTATAAAATGATATATATATATATATATATTTGACATGGTATTTTGAGTGGTACTTTTTTTGTAAAGAAAAAAATGATTCAAAAAATAAGATGTTATATAGTTATTAATATTACTACTTTAAAATATGTTTTAAATTATACACATAATATGAGAAAGGTTTATGAGATTTTCTTTATTGTAAAGATAAAAATTATTTTCTCACAAGAAAAGAAGGTTATCTTTTTACCATTTTAAGAATTGAGCGTACGAAAATTTATACTCCTTATATGAGATTAGGAAAATTATAAGTTAAGAAAATATATGTATTTTTACATGGATATTTTAAAAATAATAATGTATGTATTAATTTTATATGGTACCACATAACCATGATAGTAAAGTATATTATAATAAGGTGTATAAAGTGTATTAAAAATAAGTAAAATTTTAAGTAATCTGAGACAATTTTTAATTATGCGGGTAATTGATAATTATCTAAAATATCCCACCATGTGGCAGATTTTGCCTTAGCAAAATTTGTGACTCATGCTTTAATTGATATATGTGACAAAGTGGTAAAGTGGTAGTTATAGGTTTGACAGGGAAATCCAAATTTGTTCCGGTTTCACGAACCAAAATGTGATCCAGGATTAGCTCCTTCATATAGTGGCAACGAGAGCTGCTAGTTTTGAAGAAGTTGGAACGCTTAATGAAAAATGGGGCTTATTCTCCTAATTTTGTGATTCTTTTCTATTCCTTTTCCACATTTGGTTAATGCTCATGCCAAGACATTTCAATCTTCTATCTAGGTTGACAAACACTTTGAAAAGTTTGAGATTTCAGATGTTTGGGACCAATGATTGATTTTCAAAAGCACAAGTATCATAAAGTTTTTCATTTTCTTCTTTTGATAAGGATGTTAAATCCCCAGAGACAACAATATTGCAATTCGTTCTCAGCATTCGCTAAGGATGTTAACTCCCCAGAGACAACAATATTGCAATTCGTTCCCAGCGTTCGCTTAGGTATGTTAAGGCTAATCCTTCTTTCTTTTGGCATGATCCAAACGAAACGAAAAAAATGCACAACTTCCATAAATGACTCTATTAATAGAAATACCAGGGGTGTCTATATTCCTAATTCCCCATGTGAATTATTATTATATCTTCTGTTCATGGGTCTCAGAAAAATACGTATTTGATAAAGTTTATCCGAAAGGTATATCGATTTTTATGGCATTCCGAGAAGATTTAATTAACATATTTCATATGTATTTCATGCATTTATACATGCACATTAACCCATGACCATATGGCGTTATATACGCGTGTATATATGGATATGGAATATGGGAAAGGTTATGGCGTTATATACACACCACCACCTGATCAGCTAGTATACGTTGATGATTTTGCCCACAGTGGCCGAGATGATATGATGGGATGCCCTCAAAGGCCTGATGATATTATGAAATATGTACCTATGCACGACATGACATTCATACGCATATGCATGACACTATGAGTATACATGATTTACAAAATTATCCAGACTTACAAGTTGAGCCATTTACTCTATATTTCTTCCATGTTTGTTATGTACTTACTTATGTGCCTTACATACTCGGTACATTATTCATACTGATGTCCCTTTTTCCTGGGGACGCTGCATTTCATGCCCGCGGGTATAGATAATCAGTTTGACGATCGCTCATAGTAGACGAGATTGGCATTCAGTGAATGATCGGTAAGACTCCACATCATTCGGAGTGCAACCGGGTCTATGAGTCATCGTGTCAGAGTTTTGCTACAGATTTATGGGTAGGCCAGTACCCTGTCCCATTTGATGTCAAATAATATTAGAGGCTTTGTAGACAGAGGTTCATTTTGTACAATATATCAAAGGCCTTGACGAACCCATATGTATTCATGTTTTAAGAAAAATGGTTCAGTAAAACAGTATTTTCCACTTATAGTTGTACATTATGAGTTGTGCTCATGTGGGCACATGATAGTTACAAAAAGGAATGAGTCCGGCTAACTCAAACTATGCATGTTCTAGTTTTGGTCGAACGATCATGAGTTACATAGTGGTTCGTTCGGGCCAGCACGGCACCGGGTGCCAGCCACGCCTCCCCAAGTTCGGGGTGTGACAAAGTGGTATCAGAACGGGTCGTGTCCTAGGTAGTCTACAAAGCCGTACCTAGTAGAGTCTCACTTACGCGCAACATTTATAATTGAGATGCTATAGGGCATATAGGAAATGTTACCCTTCTATTGTTTCCAGATCGTGCCATAGAGCTGAGCCGTAAGAGTTCGGTATGAATTTTCGCCAGGTTTTGTATGCACTAGAGGTACAGGTATTACAGTAGAGCTTTAAGGCATAATTTCCGCCTATGAGGAAGGAAGATTACGAAAGAAACAGAAAATACGACACGAGATTGAAAGGTAAGTCAGGTAAAGGTGAAGAAGATACGAGATACTCAACTACAAAAGGTTGTGCATAGTCGCGACTTCAGATATAGTTTAGTTTAAGTTAAAGAGGAGACCCTAGTGAAAATTTTATAAATCTGTAAGAGTTAACATTAGANAGATTAGGAAAATTATAAGTTAAGAAAATATATGTATTTTTACATGGATATTTTAAAAATAATAGTGTATGTATTAATTTTATATGGTACCACATGATCATGATAGTAAAGTATATTATAATAAGGTGTATAAAGTGTATTAAAAATAAGTAAAATTTTAAGTAATCTGAGACAATTCTTAATTATGCGAGTAATTGATAATTATCTAAAACATCCCAGTACGTGGCAGATTTTGCCTTAGCAAAATTTGCGACTCATGCCTTAATTGATATATGTGACAAAGTGATAAAGTGGCAGTTCTAGGTTTGGCAGGGAAATCCAAATTTATTCCGGTTTCATGAACCAAAATGTGATTCAGGATTAGCTCCTTCACATAGTGGCAACCAGAGCTGTTGGTTTTGAAGAAGTTAGAAAACTTAATGAACACTACAAAAAAATAGCATTTAGCGACGACCCAAATCCGTCGCTAAAGAGCCTTTTCCGTCGCTAAGCAGAATTAGCGACGGATTACCGGGTGTTGCTAGTTTGCTCGTTGCTAAGCTCTTTGCGACGGAAAAATGGAATCTGTCGCTAAATTAGCGACGTTCTTGGAACGAACATTGTCCGTTGCTAACGTTAGCGACAGAATTTCCGTCGCTAAATTCACAATGCATTTCGTCGCTGGCATACATTTGCGACAGAAAGTCGGTCGCTAATCCGTCGCCAACATTGTTAGACTCATTTCAGCTTTGCATTGGGCGACCAAAATCGTCTGTTGCAATCTGTCGCAATGTTATTTCATATATTCATTTTTGTTACAAAAAATAGTCGTCGCAATATGTCGCTATATTTATTAAATATCCTTAATAATAACTAAAATTCATATAAATTATCAAAATGATATCAAAATGCATATCGAAATGCCCGATGTTCGAATTATCAAAATGATATCAAAATGCATATAGCTAATACAATTAAGTTCGAATTATCCCTAACACCAATAATAAAGTTCAAACCAAAAAGGTGCGAATTATCCATAACACCAACAATAAAGTTCAAAACAAAAAGCTTCCAAATACAGGGCTTAGGGGTTAAGGTCATCATTTAAAACCGATGGACGAACCCCATGAACGGTAGCAGTAGTAGTAGGAGCATGAACTGTTGGTACCACATCTGATGGGTGGTCAGTAGAAGTCAGTGAGGGTGATGAAATCTTTCACGCACCCGCTCAATCAATACTGGAAGCATATGATCAGTTAGCACAGGAACTATGTGCTCTGTTAGTGTAGGAATCAAACGCGTTACTAACTCATCCATGTTCGATGCTGATTGAGCACTCGAAGGTGGTATTGATGATGAAGCATCTGATCCAGAAGAGCCATAAAGATTCAGTCCATAGTAGCATTTTGCTTGAGATCCAAGACCATATACTCTTCTCTTCTTTTCCCCTCCCGTGGTTTCGTAATACGCTTTCCATTGATCAATATCAGATTGAGTTTGTGTTTGTTCTTGTAATATTTCCTGATACCTTTCTTGTCAAGAATATTGAGCATTTAATTAACCAACAGAGAGGATACTTTTCATACTCTTTTTACATTGTAGTAAATAAGATTATACAATATTGCACTTACATGCACGATTCGAGATTTCTCATCAAGAAAAGATTTTCCATCATACCCATGTGTATGGACGTACAAATGTAACTCACTTGGTGTTGGGTCTCGACCCTTTTCAACAGCCTATAAAAAAAATTATTTTTAAAAGCATCAAAATATTAATATAGAACCAGAAGTTTTGTCACATCTATAACTAAAAGCATAAAAAAAGTGCCACAAGATAACACTGATGGAACTCTATATAAATATCACAAAGGCACAAAAAAAAGATGAATGAGAGACACAAAACACTACAAATGTGCATTATCTAGTCTTAATCTATACAATAGAATACTATCTTAAACCACCTATCTCAATTCTGAAACCCTGCATATCACAAGGCACTGTCAGATTTTAATGTTTATAACACTCCCCATGTTCAAAAAGTTACACAGGCTAACTGGTGTTACTACAAACCAAGAATATATGTTTCACTTGTTTTAGAAGCATTCTTATAAAAAGGGCATAGATTGTCACTACTAATTCCAATATCACAAAGGCACAAAAAAAGATGAAAGAGAGACACAAAACACTACAAATGTGAATTATCTAGTCTTAATCTATATAATAGAATACTATCTTAAACCACCTATCTCAATTCTGAAACCCTGCATATCACAAGGCATAACACCAATCAAAAAGATGTCAGATTTTAATGTTTATAACACTTTCCATTTTCAAAAAGTAAAAGACAAATAATTTTTTCTCAAAAGAGGAGTACTTGTACAAGGCTAACAGATAAAGAGGCAATGTCTTTCTTTCTTTCACTATACAGGCTAACAGGTAAAGAGGAGTACTTGTACAAGGCAAGAGCATTTTGTCCCCTTCACAATGCCTAGTCAGGCAGTCCTATTTTAGTCCCAGATCCACTGGCACGAGCACAAGAAACAATGAAAAATCACTAACATTACAAATCTGACCAATATCTGTACAAACTTCGCAAACCTGGCTATAGCAGAACAAGACAAGTTAAGGCTGCTCCCTTTATGCAGTCATGCTTTTCATATAACTTGTATAGATACATGGATTTTCAGAATGATAAACCATATTGTTTGTAAGTCAATCAAATCCCCTAAGCTTGTAATTCGTGACATATCTATATGAGTTCCAAATAATAATAATAATCAGTATGATAAACATATCTATATGAGTTCAATCAAATGAATCTTCCAAAATTGCGATATACTTACAAGTCTCTTGCGATACTCCCCAATGGAGACAGAGCCGCCTGTGTGAGTCCCGATGGAGACTCCACTCCTACCGCCACGACGATTCTTTGCATTTATTTCTGACTTTTCAACACACTTGGGATCTTTCCAAAGTTGGTCCCAACTTTCCCACACTTCTACTGGAACACCTCTTGGCCTAACTTTTTTAGCTTTCATTTTGGAAATGAAATCTTTGTACCTGATTGATGCCTTATTCTCCCATTGGCTCCTCATTGCACTATCAATGGAAGAGTCCCAATAGAATTTCTTCTGAAATAATTTTATACAGTAATAACATTAATATCTTATTTATAACAGTTAATACACTTCCTAAATTCATTATATAATGAGAAGTTATACCTTAAATTCTCCCCAATAAAAGTTTTTTATCTCGTCAGAGACACTTTTCCAATTGATTCCATTGGGATCAAGTTCATGCTTGAAAGATTTAAATATTTTCGACGAGCATAATCCACTAGGTTCTAACCTGAAAAAATTTGAAGACAATAGTTGAAGGGGTATCATAAATCAAAATTTCTATATAAAAAATAATAGTAAAAACATGGACTAACCCTGTAGGAGCAAGAGTAACAAGTGTCTGCTGCCCGCGACTACTGGTGCACTCACCTTCGCCAATTGTGTTGCTTTGAGTAGATATGCCCTCACCTATTGAGTTACTATGATCAAGTGTATTAGGAGATGATTCAGAATGGATAGTTGGGGTACTACCATGACCTGATGTTTGAACGAGTGTCGTACTGCTAGGAGCTAAAGTTTGTACTTGATTTATGTGATTCTGCCCAATAAAAGAGCTCGTACCACCTTGTTGAGGACTAATTATTGGAATGGGAACAGAAGGCATTTTTGCACGAATAGCAGAATTACCCCTACCCCTAACTGAGGACTTGCCTCTCCCTCGAGTCATATCTACAAAAAAAAATTACATGTAAGCAAATTAGAATCATAAATTGGTATAAGTCAAGAATTAAGTCCCTACAAACAGAAAATATTGGTATAAGTCAAGAATCAGACCAAAATTACTGTTATAAGTTATAAATTTAGGGAAATGAGTGCGAAGTTAGACATCAAAGAAAAGAAATAAATATAGATATATTCTTGCAGATAGCATTCAACTTAGATTACAACAAACAAAACACATAGCATTCAGCTTAGATTACAAACAAAACACAGTAAGATACATCAACATATTTTTAATTAACACACTAGTCACTATCTATTTCTTCCTCATCATCCTCTCTATCTTCTTCTTCTTCTTCTTCTTCTTCTTCTTCTTCTTCTTCTTCTTCATCTTCATGATCTAGCAACACTTCATCATCAACGTACTCATCCATTTCAATTAAATCCCCATTTGGATCATGTAAGAGTATATTTTCATCAACGACAATGTTCATATCTATCACATGATCTTCAACTTCTTCAACTTGGAAGGGGAGATTTGCATCTGAAATTGCCATCACTTCCTCATCGGGTAATTCAACAACATGCCGAGGTTTAATTTTCAATACAGCTAACCAATCCTCCTTGTCCTTTCTCTTGCTAGGATAAGGAACATAACACACTTGAGTTGCTTGCATTGCAAGAATAAAAGGTTCATATTTTTTTATATCGACGACGATGGTTAACATCCACCAATTTGTATTGATTATGCTTTTTAACACCAACATTCATCGTTCGGTCAAACCATTCACACTTGAATAATACAGTATTTTTTAAAGGTTCTTCACGGTATTCTACTTGTATAATCTCTTGTATCCGACCATAGTAGTCACCAACATTTGGATCCGATATACAAACTTCACTGTTCATTGTTGATCTTGCGCTACCATGACTTTCTGTGTGAAATTTATATCTATTAACAAAATACACTGAATGACATATCGCGCTTGTCAATGGTCCATGAGCAAGGCTACGCAAGAATGCATTCTCAATATGGTTGCTTCGGACCTATTTAAAAAATTGTGAGACTTAGTTAAATTTAACAAGTCAATTTATGTACATTATTGTATAAAAGTAAATTATTGTTGGAGGCTTACATATTGCTTGAACCATATAGAGAAATATGTTTCGAGATTCTCATCTATTTGATCCTGAGATAAATTCGTATATTCTTCTTGTAAACGTTCCACGTACATACTTCATTGCAACAAAATAAGTTAAAATTAGTGTTTCTGATATACGAATATTTCTTATATTAAGAAGGTATAACTTTCAAATGTTACCTTACAAATGGCTCAACCTCTTTACAATTTAGTAGAATGTAAGTTTGGGCAGTCTTGATTTCTTCCAAGGATAAACTCTTCTTTTTTGCTTCTCCCGATAGTCGACCCGGATATGTAAATATTGATAAATTTCCTTTATGATCTTCCACAACACCACCATCATCATTCCGGTTCACATTATGATCACGTGTAATGACATGAGGTTCAAAATAATGAGAAAATAATTGTGTTGACTCTGTCATCAAATATGCTTCACAAATAGATCCCTCAACACTAGCTTTATTCCCAATCATTTTTTTCAAAGTTCCAAGGTACCTAAATAGATAAATGAATGGACCATTAAATTAAAAAGTCATGTGTAGCATACTTGTCACTTTTATGACATAGAAGTTTTAAATTTACCTCTCAAAAGGATACATCCATCGATATTGTACAGGTCCAACAATTCTTGCTTCATATGGCAGGTGCACGGGCAAATGTTCCATTGAGTTAAAGAACCCCGGTGGAAATATACGTTCCAACTTACAGAAGATCTGTGGGGTGTCTATTTCTAATCTCTCCATGTCAGCCACTCGTAGAGTGGTCGAAGTAAGATCTTTAAAAAATAAGCTCAATTCTGTAAGTGCCTGCCACACATTGCTAGGAAGTAGTTCACGAAAGGCAATAGGCATTAATCGTTGCATGAACACGTGGCAATCATGACTTTTCATGCCAAATAACCTAGACTTGTTCGTCTCTAGACATGGACCCAAATTTGAAACATACCCATCTGGAAACTTCAAACTTTTCACCCAATTGAATAAGATATCTCTTGCTTCATTGTCTATTGTATATGCAGCTTTGGGATATTTTCCACTAGCATCCTTTGCCAACTGAGGTCTATCACAATAGGTTAGCATATCCAGACGTGCTTTCGGATTGTCTTTGGTTTTGTCTTTAACATTAAAAACTGTGTTAAATACATTATCAAAGACATTCTTTTCAATATGCATGATGTCAAGATTATGCCGAATCATGTTAGAACTCCAATAAGGCAAATCCCAAAAGATGCTTTGCTTTTTCCATCCACAAGATTTACATATTCTCGAATTAACTACTTGTACATCTTCCTCTATTACTTTTCTTAGACCTAACTCACTAATTTGGTTCAAAATTTCCTCTCCCGTTCTAAGTGTTGGTGGTAGACTTTTGACAGTATGACCGTTAAGAAAGTTTTTACGATCTTTCCTAAATGGATGATGTTGGTCAAGGAACATTCTATGACTATCAAACCAAGTTGTTTTCCCACCATGACGTAATCTAAAAGATTGTGCGTCCTCCATACAATAAGGACATGCTAACTTTCCAGCAGTACTCCATCCTGATAACATAGAATATGCTGGAAAGTCACTGATTGTCCACATCAAAGCCGCCCTTAATTGAAAGTTTTGCTTTTTTGAGATGTCAAATGCTTCCACACCTTCCTCCCATAACAAAGTCAATTCTTTTATTAGAGGTTGTAGAAAAACATCAATTTTTTGTTTAGGATTGGTTGGCCCTGGAACAATGACAGTTAAGAACATGTACGCCTCTTTCATACACATCCAAGGAGGTAAGTTGTATGGAGTAACAATCACCGGCCACGAAGAGTATTTTCTTCCTGATTGACCAAATGGTTGGAAACCATCAGTACATAACCCTAGCCTCACATTTCTTGGTTCAGCAACAAAAAATGGATGAGTTTCATTGAAGTGCTTCCAAGCCTCAGAGTCTGATGGATGACGCATTACCCCATCCTCTTGTATATGCTCATGATGCCATCTCATGTTACCAGCTGTAGCATGAGATGCATATAATCTTCACAATCTAGGAATCAAAGGAAAATAATACATCCTTTTATAAGGGACTAATTTCCTCTTACGAGAACCAACACGACGTTTAAACCTCTCGTAGCCACAAAACTTGCAAGATGTGAGGTCTTCATCGTCACCCCAATACAACATACATCCTGAATTATAACAATCAATATTTTCAACCGGCAAAACCAAGCTACGCACTAGCTTCTTGTTTTGATAATAACTTTCAAGCATTATGTTATCTTCAGGTAAAGCCTCTTTCAGCAATTGCATCATTTGGTCATATCCCCTTTGTGATAAAGTGTTCTTTATTTTAATGTTTAGCATCCTAGAAACTACTGCGAGTTGAGAAAGGGAAGAACCAGGATACAATTCTGTATCAGCAGCCTTTAGCAAATCATAAAACCTTTGAGACTCAGGATTAGGATCCTCCCACATTGAAGGATTAGCCTCGTCCTCCATTGAAGGCTCAAAATGATGAGACGACTCAAATTCAGTATTAATATAAGATTGCCAACTAGAACCCTGGCCAAAGTTGGGTCCAGCTGCATCTAAACTATTTGTCGGTATGGATTGTCATATCCTAATGCAGGTTGAACACCACCATGTAGATCACTGCTAGAAGACCTCACACCAGTCATATCTTTTTCCCCTTGATACTTCCAAACAGAATAGTTTTCAACAAATCCAAACTTAAAAAGGTGCAATCTAACTGTTTCAACATCCATGTATATAATGTTGCGACATTTTTTACATGGACATCGAACATTCTCACCACTCATGCTATTTTGCTGAGAACGTGCAAACAGGAGAAAGCTATCCACGCCAGTTACAAAATTAGAATTAATACCCCCTCGGCCATCCGACCTCTCGTACATCCAAGCGCGCTCTAAATTATCCATATTCCTATTTAATATAGAAACAAAACAGGATAATTAGATATATATATATATATATATATATATATAAACTAATTATTTTAGGCAAACAAATATATATAAAAAAGACATCAAAAACTCCTGCTTAGTAAACACAAGAATGCCACCATCTTCTCAATCATACCAAGGCTACAGGGAGATCAGTGAAATACTAATATTTCATATGCAGAAGAAAAGTTCTCATATACCAAACAATGATGAAATTCGAAGTCAAATAGATGTAAATATCTACCAAAGATGATCAACTGATTCTACAAGGCAAAATTTGTTTGAATAACTTAAAAGAAAGTGACACATTATTTTACCTGTCAACAATGTTGCTAGAACATGCTTGCTGATATGGGAAAAAAGGAAGTGCAGGAACTACAGTTAGACATAAATGGCAATTATTCAACTAAAATAAGAAAAAAACTCACTAGATCAAATCGCAGTAAAATAGCAGATACAATAGAAACTAATCCATAGACTTTCTCAAATTCAACTTCAAATTATATAAACCCTAATAAGATGAAGAGGGGAGAACAAAAATTACATACTCCAAACCTTCTTACAAACAAAGGAGATTGAATAATAAAAGGATCTTGCACTTTGGGAGATTTCATCAAGGGGAAAAAATGAAAAATTGCTTATCACAACCAAAGTCAAGAATTGATAGATACTATTCTATATCAATTTTAAGTCAAATTAAAACCCAATTTTGCTAATAACACATTACTTCTTCACCAAGACAAGCACAAAAAGAGTCAGTAAAACTGTAAAAGAAGTAAATACAAATATAGTGAAAACTTAATTGGTCACGTAAAAAAGATCCTATCTTGACAATTAAACCAGAAACACAAGTCCAACCATGAAAGAAAAGAACTTTACATACAAAAAAGCCCCATTTTACAATTAAAATCTGATAAAGCTCCAAGCCCTAGCTGCTCCAAATTGATGCAAATAAAGTAAGAAGAAAACAATTAATTTGAAAATGTTCACTCACATTCAGTGTAATGAACATAGTATTCGTAGTCATTGGCATCGCCATCAAGCTACTGATTCATAAGAAACAAAAGAAGAAACAAATTAAATCCATCTACACACCTTAGATTCACGTTGGCTACTAATTTTTGCTCTTGTTCTTGCCCTCAAGTGTATTTTCCATTGATTTTGCTCCCAACCGCCTATATTTTCTCCCAGCGTTCTACCCTGTTAGACGAAGAAGAGACCGAACTTTTACCAATTTTGTGCCTAGGGTAAATAATTAAGTGGTATTCAGCGACGGATTTAGCTACGGCTTAATTTCCGTCGCTAATAATGAAGGAGCTTAAAAATTTGATAAAGAAATTAAGCATAGCGACGGAAATTTCGTTGCTAATTCTGTCGTTGTAGGTAAATAAATTTTGTCGCTCAGGTTTTGTCGCTGAATCCGTAGCTAAATTGAGGGCGCCAATATTTAGCGACGATTTTTCGATTTCGTTGTTATTCTGTTGCTATATTATATACTGATTATTTTTTGGCTTTTTTTGCAACGAAACTATTATTCCGTAGCCAATCCGTCGCTAATCAGCGACGGAACTAAGTTTGTCGCTAAAATCCGTCGCTAAATGTTGTTTTTTGTAGTGAGACTTGACTCCGCGAGCCACTACTAACGAGCACTTAGTGAGCTTCCATTGGCCATTAAAGAGGGCATTATGGTAACCTTCATCGTCTAATCTTTCTGCGGAGATCAAATTGAAAGGAAATTCTGGAGCATGCTTGACATCTTGAAGAACTAACATTGAAACATTATTAGTTTTCAAACAAACTGTGCCAACATCAAACACCTTAAATTCACTGGCATTGCCCATATTTAACACTCCAGAATCAACAGGAGTATAAGATGAGAAAAAAATCTTTTCTTGGTGTGACATATGATGTAGCTCCAGAATCTACTATCCAGCTAGTCTCATGGGATAACAAATTGATTGCGTTTTCATCATAAGCAAAAAGAAGGTCATCTCGAACAATAACAGCAACATTGTTCTCGTTATTTTCAGCTTTCTTTCCTTCTCTAGTGTCTTGATTCAACTTGCGGCAAAACCTTTTGATGTGTCCTTTCTTGCCACAACGGTTGCATGTAATATTATAGTATTTGGACCTTGACTTGCTTCTACTTTTACCTCTACTCCTTGAGCCTCTTGTTCTATCTCTCCCCCGGTCTTCTGTAACCAAGATATCTGCTTGTAAGGATGAACCCTGAGATTTTCTCCTTACTTCCTCCTTTAACACACCACTCTTGGTATATTCCATGGTCACCTTACCTGCAGGAGCTGAATTTGTCAAAGAAACATGAAGAGTTTTCCAAGAGTTTGGAAGAGTATTAAGAAGCCAAAATCATTGTATCTCATCATCAAAATTAACTCCCATTCCAGACAGTTGATCAAGGAAGAACCTCTAGCTTTTCCCACAATGATCTTCGCATGTGTCTCGTTCACAATATGGTTGCGAATATTATCTTCAATCCATTGGCGTATATATCCACATACTTGTTGGTACTCGAAATCCCAATCTTCATCAGATACACTCTCGGGTTTATGAGCTGCAAAAATGGGTAGATGCATCTTCTTCACGAACAACAAATCTTTCATCTTGCTTCTCCAAATATTATAATTTCTCCAATTTAAACATACCATCTTGCTCATATTCGCCTCCATTCCGTAACAACCTGGATAAATAACCAAGGCTATGATACCACTATTATGTCGAGAAAGAGGCAAACCCGAAAATAAAGAAAGTAAAGAACACCAAATTTTAACGTGGAAAACCCTTCAAATCGAAGGTAAAAATAATGGGGCCACAAAGATCCAAAAAGCTCAACTATAACAATAAGAGTGTTACAAGGGTTCTCCAAATTAGCTACACAACAAGTGTCAAACACGGAGCAACAATAGCAACAAGAGCAACAATAAATCAATTGAAGAAAGAGGAAACTCCACAAAAATGAAGTTGTTGTTCGAGACTCGAAATCAGATACTGCGAGCCTCCAAATCCGATCTCCACCGTCTAAATCAAACATCAAGATGTTACGAACACTCAATCAATATTTCAGTCTGATCCAACGAATAACGAATCCGAAAACGTAATTTGAAGTTGGTTGGTCGAAATAAAAATCTGCAGCAAAATAAATACTTTTCTTCTATCTTCTCTCTTGATGAAAACTCTCTCAAAAACCACTCTTATGTGCTTAAGTCTTTCAATACAGATCATGAGTGGTGCTTTCCCTTAAAGCCAAAACCAACTCTAAATAGGAACAAAAATAGAATCCAATTCCGAATAGGAATGGAAACCAAAAGAGAATAGGATTAGGCCATTGGGCCTTTGGCTGGACAACATGGGCATGTGCCCAACACTTATAACTTTTAATCTGCAAATAGATTTACAAATGGCTAAGTTGGTTTGGTGAATGATTTCCTACAGGAAGACCTGGGATTGATTTCCCTCATCAGCAACCTCCTTAGTTTGAACTCGCACCAGGCTTGCCTATGTATTTCGTGGGAATTTTTGAAAAAAAAAAATACTATTATACACTTAAAACGTCTGATCGGCTGCTCACTTTGTTTAATATATTCATTCAGTACCAATACAAACTAAAACTACACTAAAGTGGAAGAGCTAGTATAGACGCTAGAAGTAGCTAGTCTATAACCAAAGCCTCACGATAAATTAGCCTTATGAAGTGAATCTTAAGTAAGGGGCTTAGCCCGTAGACCTACCAAGCAAAGAGGCTGAGAGTAAGCATAAGCTCATCTCTTTGCGTAAATTTTAAATTAGGTGGTTCACAAAATTCATCAATAATAACATTTAAATAGAAATATAGAATAAAATAGTTCAAGCTCCAAAATTGTGACTCATAATTTGCGATCATTAAAAGACTTTTAAACAATAAATAAATCCAACGGCTACAATTTCACAAGGATGATCAAGAATGAATGGTAGTGGACCCCATATGGAGAAAAAGAGCCACTAGAATAGAAGATACAGATCTCCCAAACAGATGGAATGAAGAAAAAGAAAATGGGGACCATAAAAAAAACAAGAATCTTACTCCTATTATTCAAGTAAAATAAAATACGTGTTGCTGGAAAAAATCAAAGTCCAATACAAAAAATCAAAGCCAGCCAATGCAATTGTGTGGTTCTCAACATTCCATCTTGTTTTTCCTTTCCTTCACTACCACTCAAAAAAAACCAAAGGCTACCAAGTTTACAACCAACCCCTTCTTCATAAACCACAAAAAAAATCTTTTATAACACAACAAGTTCTAAATCACAACCACAACAACAAAGAACCATTCAATATTGAAGATTTTAAGTAGCTTTTAGTTGAAAATTCTAAGTATTTTCAATGGCAACAACTACAACTTCAATTTCAGCTACTACTTCTTTTTCTTCATCTATTGGTGGTGAAGATTATGGCATTCTTGCTAGGAAAGTGCCAATGAACGTACGTATGGGAAAACCAGTGAGATCAAGGCCAATGATGGGGAATGTTAATGATGGGAAAGGATTATTTGCTCCTATTGTTGTTGTCACTAGGAATATTGTTGGCAAGAAACGTTTCAATCAGCTTAGGGGCAAAGCTATTGCTTTACACTCTCAGGTACTAACCATTTACTAGCAGATTTTTCTTTTTTAAAATAACGGTAGTGTTGAGATCAATTTGAAGTGACTCCTTGGAGCAACGGTAAAGTCATTTTCATGTGACCTATAGATTACAAGTCCAAACCACTGATACTTGCATCAGGATAGGCTGCGGCCTTTTTCTGAATCCCGCGTGAATTCGGGATACTTCGTGCACAGAGCTGTCCTTTAGTGTTGAGTTTGCGCCAGACTATTTCATTAGATACTTATTTCCTCACACCAACATAGATACTTATTTCCTCACACCAACATATATACTGAATAACTCGATTTGCTCGCTAGATGGACATAAATTACGTTTTTTTGTCTCTGCTCAAAATTTTTAATATCAATCACCTGTTGTTTTGCACTCACGCCATTGACCACTGGGAGCATCGTTGAGTGCTCTATCTAACTGCTTTTGGTTGATGTCCTTTTTCTCTCTCCCTATATTCTTAATATCTTAGTTGTGGTAGAATTTGGGTAGATATAGCTTTTGCAATAGTCTTTCTTAATGTGATGGTATTGAATGCTCTAACAATGTTCTAATTTGGAAATAAANGTATGTATGTATGTATGTATGTATGTATGTATGTATGTATGTGTGTGTATATATATATATATCTAAAGAATAACCGAGAGGCGAAGAGGTCACAATTCGAACATCAATGTTACAATTTTGTGCAAGATATAATACTAAAAAGGAATTGTGTATGGTATTTGATTTTCAGGTAATCACAGAGTTCTGCAAATCAATAGGAGCAGATCAGAAGCAAAGGCAAGGATTGATCCGACTAGCAAAGAAGAATGGTGAAAGACTTGGATTTCTTGCTTGATATCAGCTTTATATATTATATGTATGGTGTCCCATACCATTGACATGGGAAATGTTGTTATGATCAAATAGCTTAGCTATAGCTTTGTGTACTTGAAACAACTCAATGTTGATACAACTTAGTTATCTGTATTATTCAAACATATGCGTTTTAGTCTAGGTATGCCTTCTTGTTTCAACACTTAGATTCTATCCATATTCACTATATTAACTCTTTTAAGGAAATAACAAAGTTCTAGAGAAATTTTCGAAAGAAAGGCAGATCTTCAGGAAAAGTAACGGTGACAAGGTTTCGTTACTTTTGACCTCTCCTCGCTCCAAAAGTCCAAATTGCTTTTAAATTTGAACGTCTTGTGTAGGGGGAGACATGGAATGCGTCTCTCTGTTTAATGTTAAGTGGGAGGTTTATAATACGCGAATCAAGCTGTTTAATTTTCGGTATTAGTCCAAACATATATTCTTCAAGTTTGTTTAAATGAAATGTCCATATTAAAAAACCCTTAAATGGAGTACTATAAGTCACAATTGTAAGTCATTCGAAATATTTAAAAGATACAACAACATACAGTATTATCCCACGCCGTGAGCTCTGGGCGCAAACCTTACCCCTACATTGTGAGGATAGAGAAACTGTTTCCAATAGACCCTCGGCTCAGGAAAGCATAAGCACCACATTAATGAAAGCATAGACAAGACGGGAAGGTACCAAAAAGCCATATAAAAGCAAAATAAAAACAACAAGATAGTAAGGCGAACAACAATGAAAGAAAACAACGGTTAGTCATACAAACCTACTACCAATAGAAAGCGAGGTTGCGTGCCAATACTACTG